GTGTGAATCTGTATGTTATAACATGTGCTCATGAATCCAAAGAGTGGTTGACTTCCTGATCTATGATGTTTTCCTTGAATTTCACATGTTGTAAGAATGAGGCCATTTATTCCACAAACCTCCCCTTTGACTTTCTCTATGATACTTGTCATATCAAAGTCCATAGAAAAGAGTCTGGGGTCGTTTGGATGAAGAATTGTAACGGATCAATTTGACACAATTGTTTCGTTTTGAGATAATTGTACCAAATTGCCTCGTTTGTCAGCAAAAAATTTGAATGGATCAATCTGCCTGAGTTATTTTGAATTGATCCGTTTTGAGTCAATTTCAATTACCTGGGGTGGGGGCAGGTAATTCGAATTGACTCGTTTTAATTGCCTCGTTTATAAAACGAGACAATTGATCAAATTGACTCATTTCTAGATTGATCCATCCAAACGACCCAGATTTCAGGTATTATGGTCGTTCTGGCGATGATACTTGTCATATCAAACGCCACGAAAACTTTAGTTTAGAGCGACGTAACGTTGAGACCCATAATCGTGAAAATTTAATGGCGGAATCAAAAAGTTCCAACAAGAAGGAACGAGATTGGATGTTGGAAAGAGATATGAACTTGAGTGCACACAATGGAAGGCGGGTTCCCTGACCCGCCAGTTACAAATAAATAAATAAAAACTTGTCAATTTTCTTGGACTTCTTACCTCATGTTGATGTATCACCAAAATTTGATGGATTACATCACGTAATTGGCGGGTTATCACCCTCCGAGTTTTAAGTGCGGGAATAACACAAGAGATTACAAATACTTAGTTATCACCATTTGAAGAGAAAGAAACTCAGAGTTCGTCATCTAGAGTGAACATATCACATTGGAATAAGAAGGGAGAGTGCAACTATGTTATAAACCTCGTTACCACTTGGCTTTGTTGAATAAGTGAATTTAATTCATTAACCTTTGTGAAACGAAGTAACCCTTCAAAAGGGAACTCCAATTTTCACAATAAACATCTGCCAGCCGCCATAATTCTCCTCCAGAGTTCTTCTTCTTCTTTCAAATTTCTTTTCTCAAAATCATAAAAACAAAAGTCTAAAAGATTATAACAATTTGTAGGTAGGTGATTGTAAACTTCAGAAAGAATTTATAAAATTCATCCAAAATTTGGGACAGTTTGACTGCTGCTGTTTTAGGGACAGTTTTCTTTTCCAGCTTGCTTGATCCTTGTAATTTATGTGCATTTTTTCTACTTAATATGATAATAGGGATGGCAAAAGTATCCTTAACCGTGGATATCCACCCAAATCCGACTTAATCGGGTAGGGTAAATCCGAACCCGAAGGACTTTTTGTGGGTAAGGTTAAAACCCGAACCCGAATATTGCGGGTAATGGGTGGGCATGGTTTTTTCACTATCCAACCCGAACCCGCCCGATTATACACATGCATATGTATTTTGTATATAAATAATCATTATTTTTCTCTAACATATTTTATATTTAGCATATAAATATAATATATTCATGAAATCGTGTTGTTTTAATTAATTTTCTTCATTCTAGTGAATTATTATCGTACTTTTCCTTTTATGTAATGTGAGAATATACGTGAATGTTAACATATTAGTTGGAGTTATAAAGAGAAATTATTACCCATGGATAACCGTGGATACCCGAAATCCGAACGGATATGGGCATGGTTTTGATTTTCTACCCATTTCTTATGCTGGTATGGGTATGGGTAAAACCCGAACTACTTTGGGTAGGGTAACAGATATGCACTATCCGCACCCAACCCGACCCATTGCCATCCTATATGATATCGCCATTATAAAAAAAAGGTTAACAAAAAGGTGTTAATCCATTTTCCGAATGTTTTGGTTCAGTCGACCTCCTCTAGTAACACCTTTTTTTCCTTTCCGTAATGAAAACGTGACCACATTCATTCAAAGAGTCCAAAACACCAACACAGTTCTAATAAAATTCAATCAGTGTCATAAATCATAATATTGTAGCTGAAATTGACATAATAAGTGTTTGCCGATGAAGAAATTGACATTTTGTGCTCTTTGGCTTTGCTTTTTTCTAGTGTGGATAATAGTGACTAATGTTCTTCAACAGTGAATTGAAGAGGCAAAAGATTGCCTGATCTCTAATCTCTATCCCTTTTCGATAATTTGCCCCTTGGTGTTGTGATTAAGTCAAGTGTGCAGACAACATTTGCTTTGCTCTCGAGACTCAAGACACAATTTTCTAACAACAATACACTATTGGGGGTATTCTCTAGTTTGGGGAATGAATCTCGAAATTTGGTAGAAATGTTTTTTTTTTTTAGATAAGGGCGATATAGGTTTTTTTTTTTTTTTTGTTATTAGGTATTACTGAAGGGATTCGAACCTGGTACCTCCAGGTTCATGGCTAGTGGTATTACCACTAGACCAATCCCTTGTTCGTATGAAATTTGGTAGAAATGTTGAAACGGGTGACAACTTATAAATAGAAGGAATGACTAAATATTACTTGTAAGTAGGGCTGTCAATTCGGTTGCCGGTTAGCGGTAGAAATGTTGAAACGGGTGACAACTTATAAATAGAAGGAATGACTAAATATTACTTGTAAGGAGGGCTGTCAATTCGGTTGCCGGTTAGCGGCTAACCGGCCGGTCTAACCGTTAACCGCCGGTTAGCGGCTAACCGGAAACCGAAAATAATAAGGCACGGTCGGTTGACGGAGGCTGTCTGTGGTTAGGCGATTAGCCGATTAACCGACGCCGGTTAACCGGCTAACCGGCTCTAACCGACCGACAGTACGACCCCGTTTTGGCAAGTTGAAATGCAAAAACCCTAGCATCCTCAAGACCCTCTCCAATCGCCTCCCTCAGACCATCTTTCATTCCATCTCCATCCTCCTCCCTCAGACCCGCCTCAGTCCGCCATCGCCGCCGCTACTCCAGTCCTCCATCGCCGCGCCTCCAGTCCGCCATCGCCGCCGCTCCTCCAGTCCGCCATCGCCGCCGCGGAAGATCTGTGATTGAGAATCAATCTATTGATTGAGAAGAAAAAGACGGCGCCGATTTCTTCTCCTCCGCGCCTCACATGGGCGGCGGCGCCGCCTCCTCCTCCACCGCGGAAGATCTGGTCGCCCCACAAGCCGACCCAGATCCGAACGCGGACGACGACCTGAGCGACGACGAGTCCGACGAGATGGAGACGCGGAGAGGGTGGTCTCGTCCAGGGCCACCGCCGCCTCCCCTGCGCCAGCCGCCTCCTCCCTTGCTCGGCGCCGGCGTGTCTTCCCCTGCAGATGAGTAGATTTGTTTCCATGGAGAAGAAGAAGAGTCTGGTGGAGAGAAGAAGAAGGAGAGAGAAGAGTCTGGTGGAGGAAGGAGATAAGGAAGGAGTGGTGGTGATTTTTTTGTTTTATTTAATTTTTTTTTGTGTGGAAAATGTAATTTTTTCGGTTGGCCGGCTAACCGAGCCCAAAACCGTAACCACTCGGTCGGTTGGCCGGCTAACCGTGACCTTTCTTCGGTCGGCAGCTTAATGGGGGGTCTGGGTTTAACCGATAACCGGGTTTTCGGTTTTCGGTTAAACCGAAACCGACTGGTTGCCACCCTTACTTGTAAGTGTGGCGAAGAAGTAGTATTTGTTTTCTATTTCGTGACAAGTCTCATTTTACTGGGAGAGAATTTCCTTGAGATGGAAGGGTGTAGGGATGGCAATAAAACCCGAACCTACGGGTACCCACCCGACCCAACCCGGTCAACGCGGGTAAAATTCGTGTTGACGGATTTTGGGCCGGGTTTGTGTTTAAACCCGTTTACTATTCAACGGGTTGGGTTGGATTTGGGTTTAGGTAAACCCGGCCCGTGAGTACCCGCCCACCCATATAATTAATTTTTTCGGTATATTTAATATTCTAAACAACTAATCTTATTTATGTTTGTGGAGACATGTCTAATTTTTTCTTTTTAATTGTGTAGAATCAAGTTGATGTTATGGAGTGGAGAGTAAAGAAACTTAATTGAAAGGAAGAAGTTTTCAATTAAACATGTTATTTATGGAAAATTTGTGATTTGCTTCAATTTTTTTGAGTTTTCTAGATTGGTGTTGAACAATGTGTATAGTTAATTTGTGATTTGCTTGAATTTTCTAGAATAGTGTTTTATATATGGATAATTTGTATTGAGAGATTGATATTTGACTTTAATTTTGATAAGAACTTGTAATTGTAAATTTTTTACGAAGAAACCCGTGGGTACCCATGAACCCGCGGATACCCAACGGGTTGGGTTGGGTTTGAGTTTTTCAAACCCAGTGGGTTTTACCCCGGGTTTTTTTCAAAGATAAACCCATGGGTTTGGGTTTGGGTTTGGCAAAACCCGACCCAACCCGACCCATTGCCATCCCTAGAAGGGTGGTTGGAGAAGATGAACAGAAAATTCAACCAATAAAAATTTTTAATTCTACCATCCAAACGATAAAATCTTCTAAATTCTTTCACTTACCGAAGTTTAAAAACAACCCCACCACTAAACTCTTTCATTCGGACAACACCTAAAAGAAACAGGAAAATGCACTATCTAGAATTTGTTGATACGGTCTATTTAGACACATACAATGTAACATTTTTGTGGGTAATTATAAGTCATAAAAAAATTCGATAAATATTGTACGTCGAGAGAGAAATGTCAACTGAAAATCATCAAATATATTCTAATATATTTGAATTAGCATTTCTTTTACGTTGCTCGCTTACGATGCTATGTTGCTTATATAACAACCTATTCTTGCCACGTTAGCAATATGTAATAACGATATATTTGACAATCTTGGTCATATACACATGATTTTCAATCTGTTTTCAATTAACTCGAAAATTCGATTGAGATTAACCATAATCATGTACAATTTGAACATGTTTCTACTTTTCACTACAAAGTTAAAAAAAAAAAACATTAAAACCTATCTAGATTCTAGAGTAACGAATTGAGCCTTTTAGGCTTTAGCTATCTCCTCTGTAACCTCGTACCAAACCTTCCGGTTCCAACGGCGGCATGCTGATAACGACTGCTCCCGCCGCCGGCGCCACCGTCGCTGCTGCTTCCGGAACCGGTGATGGCTGCGGAAGAGAAGTAGAAGTAGGAGGAGGACTAGAAGCGGAACCGGTATCAACCTCCTCGGCCACAACCACCACAGTCACCGGAGCCACCGCCGCCGCCGGCAACGGCGCCGGCGGTGAGAAACCGACGATTTTCTGGCAGGTCTCGATGAGGCAGTGGCGGCAGGTGGGGCAGGAAGAGTGGGAACCGAGCCATTTGTCGATGCACTTGGAGTGGAAGCCGTGGTTGCACTTGGGCAGGATCTTGACCCGGTCGCCGGCGGCGAACTCCGACAGGCAGATGACGCACTCGGCGTCAAGCCCGGGCAGGTTCAGCTGGTCGGAGAAGCTGACCGTGGGGAAGGTCTTCAGCGCCTTCTTCTTGATCCCGGTGTTGGCGTGTTTGGCGGCGCCGGCGCCGGAGGACTGATCGTCGGCGGCGACGGCGACCAGGTTGTTGGAGCAGCGCAAGGCGCAGCGGATGATGGAGTTGAGGCCGAGGGAGCAGATGAGGGCGCAGAGGAGGACGGAGAGGACCATCACCACATTCGCGTCGAACGTGCTGTCCGTCGTGCTGTTGTACGGCTCCGCCGCCGGCGCCGGGGAGGAGTGGAGGAACCTTCTTGCGATGGTGAATTGAAGTGAGGTGGAGAGGTGATTAGTGGTGGAAGCCATGGTTATTGATTAATCTTGGGGCTTAATTGAAGGTTTTAGGAGTAGTAGTGCTTAATTGACTTTCTAAGTGAAGAATTGTGGGAAGTGGTATTTATAGGGGAAGAAGAAAAGTTGGCTTGAAAATTCTTGCCACTTGAGACTTGAGAGGGAGGGTTATTGGTAGGATAATTAATTAATTAATTAATTACAAATGGGCCATAATATCCTTTTTGATTAACTGTAGTGTTGTTCTATAGTGTATTGGTGTTGTTGGAATGTTCAAAAAAAAAAAACTTTAACGTAAGTCGAATAATAATCAATCTAGATAATAAATAAAAGCCGAATGATGAAAAGTGTTGCTCCATTTCAAATTTCCTGCCACGAGAGTGATTATAGGAAGGATATTTTGGTCTTCACAATTACTTATTTTCTTATTTATTTATTCATAAAAAAGGCATGCACTGGGATTTGAACCTTGGTCTCTTTAAAGGCAAACAAGGATCATAACCAATCACACTAGGTATATTTGTTGTATTTATTTAAATTCAAACATACACGAACCTTAATTATGAAAATCATATGACTTTTTTAACGATTAGTTGGCCACTGAATCTCCCGTAAGTACTTATTTGGTGTTTTAATACTTTGATTATTTTAGTTGTAGTTTAATACTTAATTTAAATTTCTATCTATTTTATAAATATATGATAACCCTAAAATTGCAGCCCAAATATCACTGGTTCGAATATTGCATATCGAATTGCAATATTAAACATGTAGAAGCAATATCGACTTCTTAAATTAGTATTATTTTTCAGAATTACTATGGAGAAATTATATCTTTGTGCAAACTAAATGAGACTGATTCTTTTAATGTTTTAGTCGGGATAACCGCTACATTTTAAACTTCTTCATAATCTGGCATGATTGGATCCAATGATCATCAATATTAAACATGTAGAAGCAATATCGACTTCTTAAATTAGTATTATTTTTCAGAATTACTATGGAGAAATTATATCTTTGTGCAAACTATATGAGACTGATTCTTTTAATGTTTTAGTCGGGATAACCGCTACATTTTAAACTTCTTCATAATCTGGCATGATTGGATCCAATGATCATTATACAAGATTGTGTTTAATAGGGTGGCTCATTTCACCACTTTTTGGCGTGTTAATGAATTTATAGGACAATGACAGGTCTACATCTACACTCAACACAATCTACACATCATATAAATGTGAAATGTGAAATGAGAAAAGAGGGATTCCATTTCAAATTTGATGCGTACAGAGCAATTTTTTAGGGGTATATTTAGAAGATGCCAGTGTGGTCGGTCTGTTGAGCACGAAAGTAAAAATATGTTTTCATTTAAACGGGCCCAAATTGTTATTTGGCCCACTAATCGTGCACCCATCGCCAATGCAGTCAAATTCGAGATTTTGATCGTAAAATCGTAGGATTTTAGGGTTTTACTTAGGGATTCTGATATTGATTTTACTATAAAATCGGTGGACCTTAAAATCGTTTAAAATCGGGAGTAAAATCGTTAAAATCGTAAAATAGTACCGAAATCGGGATTTTGATCGTAAGAGAACAAAATAGGTGGTTTGAGCCAATTTAAAATAAGTATAACTGTTTCAGCGGAAAGGGCAATGGAATCTTCTCATATATTTTTTCTATTAGAAAAATATTCAAAAATAATAAAAATAACCAAATTAGGGTTCGATTAATCTCTTTCCCTTCACCCAATTTAACTTATTGGTAAAACACATGTCCTAATATTGGAAGTATGTAAGAACTAACATCATTATTAACTAATTAGTTTATTAATGAATATATTTGTACCAAGCCACTAACATTACTTATTTTATTGGAGTTCAATTATTTTTAGTTTTAAATCATACTTAGTAGACGATGTCGAAATATTACTTTGAGTTAAACAACCTAGACATAACATGAAAATAAGAGCCAAACCCATGAACTATATCCCTTCATCATGAATTATTTTGAGTTACACATTAAATAACAATTAAAATAGTGATTTTGGAACATTAATCTTGAGAATTATCTTATGGAAAAAAAATCTTCTGAATTATCATTTTAAATGCTATGTGTCTTTGTGATATTAATAATTTACCTTATTAATATTCTTATATGCTATGTTCTATATAGTACTTAAAATCCTACGATTTTACGATTCGATTATACGATTTTGATTTTACCCCAGTTTTCGATTTTAGGTAAAATCCCGATTTTAACTGCTTTGCCCATCGCAGCCTCTCCAAATCTTCCTATTCTACTCGCCGGGTCATCTCCTCCACTACAAAATATCTCCTCATGTACTCAAATTTCTCACTGAAACCTAATATCTACAACCTAGGCGCAGAGGGAGCAACCGATGGATTGTAGCGACCCCCACTATTTTGATAGCTAATCAAGAAGAGCGTGTTTGTTTAGTTGTATGGTGATTCACTTAATTAACAATTTTTTATTTCGTTGACAGCCTCCTCTCCGCAATTGTATTGTGTTCACGAAGATCTGAAGGCGCAAGTGCAACAGGTCCAGGGGTAAACAATATGTATAAAGCGTTGGCCAAATTGAATTGAGTCAGTCTACTTGGAATATGAAGATTTTTGCTTAATTGCTTTGGTTCGTGATGCAACTATGTTATGTTTGAAGGTAGACCAACGCAAACAACAGCACAGCTCCAGGGCTATTCTGCACATTAGGTAGTTGGGGCATTAATTGATAATTATTTGGGATTATTCCTACAAGTACATAATTTGGAACGTGCCTTTATATTGCATTGATTAATAGTTGTTTGAGATTTTTCAAATGAGTGATTTGACATGTTAAACTCTCTTATTTTTGAAAATGGAGTCTTCGAAGTGGAATATGAAGATTTTGGATTAAGCTTGGTTTCGTAACGCCCTTATGGGTGTTTATTCTCTAAAATGCAGCTGTCTTTCAAAGTGCCCGTTGCAAATGGCAAGTCAGGATACAACGATGGTACCGGTACACGTTTATATCATTAGTAGGTAGCAGATTGTGTCCATTCTACTATATCATTTAGCTAAATACTTAGTTGTTCTTTTCAACTAAAAATTATGCTTAAATGCTGTGATTGGCCTCAGAAATGTATGTCTTCGCATTAACTGTTAATGATTGTGAGTTTTGGTTTAATGGTGAAAAGTCCATTTATTTAGAAGTCTAAATTGGGCAAACCTATTGGACAATAGGAATGTCATACATTAGTTTCGTGGGAGGTTTGTTTGATGTCTCAGGGTGTTAGATTTTTTAGAAGGTTGTTTGTTGTGGCAGAGAGTCCCTAAAGCTAGCGAGGTATTCCTATGTGGGCTTTTTCTTTGTTTGACTTTTTCTCGCCTTTTTTCTTATCTCTTTTTCTATTTTTGGTTTTTGTGTCCTACCTTCAGTTGCTAGGTCTTCATTTGTGAGCCATCTATACTTTTCTTATTCAGTGCCTAAAAATCATATATACTCGATTGCATAGTAGTTACTAATAGATAACATTTATACCGATAGAGAGATTTTAAGTTTTATCAGTTGTTAGTTTTAATATTTACTTACATTGGTTGTTTATATAGTTTTCTTTGTAATATTTCTCATTATACAACTAACTACTATGGCTACGTAGTTGTATAAGTGGGGGTTGGACATGATAGTTCTTAGAAGCATCAATACTTGAAGGTCATTATAATGACCAAATTCTAAAGTTATGGTTTGCCTTCAACTTGCTTGGAGCATTTCAATTATGCATCAATTGTTCTCTCTGTGTAGTTAACTCTCAGACAAATCGAAAATCTTGCTGATATGTGATTGATTGTAGTTAAATTTAGGGTTCTACTGCATTGTTGCTTTACTCTTTTTTCGTGGTTGAGTCTGCTTCAAAAAATTTAGTTTGATTTTAGAAAATTTTGCTTCTGCCTTGCCACCAACGCGTTCAATAGATGGAGACGGCAGAGGCGAAGGCTATTTTTGTGTTGTTGTTGCTGGTTTAGGGATCGGTTTGTGAAGAAGAGGGAGAAGAGAGGGGGAAAGGAAAATGCAGGAGAGGGGGATAACTCTTTTCTCCGACAAAAATGGAGTGAAGAAAGGAATTATGATCAGTAAGAATATGGTTATCTTACATAACGGTCTCTATTCTGTTTGAATTGAGCTTGGGAGGCAGTGATAAGGACGAGCTGCAACCAATTCATAGTGAGAAGAGAGCTATGAACTGTGATCAAGTCTTATTTCAAGTTAGAAGGTAGTTTCAGTATAAGGATTATTTAATTTGCAAGTTGTTTCGTCCATGATTCTTGGTAGTTTCAGTGCCATTCTAGCCAATGTTTAGTCTGTAATTTTTGAGAATTGATGTGCGAGTAATGACTTTCACTTAGCTTCAACTATTATGTGTGTATTTATTGGCATGTGATAGAATTCTCTTTTCCTTTTCTTTGAATTCATTTTCATACTCTAATTGTATTATTTGTACATAGGCAAATCATGCTCGAGATGGCAACTCGCTGATATGGCTGGTGCAAGGAATGAAGCCATCATTAGAATTCAGACCGACAACGGGGAGGTATGCCCAGGACTAATTCAATGATGATTGATGATGGTATAATAAAAACTGCAGTCTGCATCAGCACCAATTTCTAGGCCTAAGTAAAGGTATTCAACCCAGAACTCTGCTTAGCGCTAAAAATTGCCCTCACCCAACCTTGATCCTGTTTGACCCACTTCTGAAGAGTCAAGATATATGACTAATCCTCCCCGTTGGTATTTTCTTATTGACTCTTTCTGACCCTTTAGGTTGGGGTGGGTCGGGAAGAATTGGATTAGTGGGTCGGTCCTAATCAAGTGGAATCCCAGTCCCTTCACTCTCACTTGCTTTCACTCCCATTCCACAAGTGGGTAACATACAGTAATCCGGCCAACGGGCCGGGTAATAAGCTAGTGATAAGATATACAACTATGAGGGAAAAAATGTGATTCTTGTCAATTCTTATATA